ATAAATTAGAATTTGAGTTTATATAGCTTGGATGGCTGCTTATTAACAGAGGAGGGAGTAAACATGACGTATGAATAGCCAAAGATGCAGTGAGCTAATTAACAAAAATTTGGCAAAATAGGAAGATCTGTAAGGTCATCAAAAAGAATAGTCAATAATTTTGTGTTCTCCATCTTTCTTTATGGACAATTTGAGCAACAGAATGAGCAGATTCTTGTTGTGACTGAACTAAATTCATAATTATTCAAATGTGCAGTATATGAAATGCACATGAAAAATTGGTGTAAATTAAGAGACATATTTACTCCAAAGAAACAAAGTATTATGAGATAACCGCTATAATTAAACATGATTTATGTAAGTACTCTAACTGTGAACTTTAACTGATTAGTAAGAAATTAATAATATATTTATTTCCGTCATGTACAGAAATGGACCAAATTCGTTTTACATTCGGTCAAACTGAATTTTGGCCGCTTATCTGAACTTTGTATTTGGCTAAAGTGTGGTTAAAATGCCAAACATTCAAAGTACAAAAAATGAAGTAAAATACCTGCACTATTTTGACAAAATTTTATAGAAATCAAAACTGTCATACCCATAAAATACAATAAGCCCTTTATATACTCTATAATCACAGTAATTTATTTGTTAATTAATAATTGCTTTCATTATCCATTTTTCTAGTTATTTACATTTAAATCTTAATCTGATATATAACAGAAAATTAAATTAGCTCTTCATAAAAAAGGAGTCTTATGAACCAGTAATAAGAAATAGCCATTAACTTAAAACAAAAGTTAGAATCCTTCTAACAAATTATATCAGTTTTACAATTACATTGGACTCCCAGTAATTCGACACCATTTTGCAGGGCATTGTCCGACTATCAAATTTGTCGGATTATAGGGTACCACCTAAGGCCCCTATAGTCAGGAATTTTTTATAAAAGAGTACCTACTAGAGTATAATTACAGATCCAATGATAAGATTCTATATGTTATGTATATGTGCTCTGAAGTACAAATCATACTTTACAATGTATGTTAAATTCGGTAAATTATATCATACAATAGAGAGATTACGTTTTATTATAAAATTAACGTCATTAAATCTATAGAACTTACAAAAATATGCAATAACTTTACATTAGGAAATAATTGTGTACAAACAAATGTACATACTAAAAAAATCAAAAATTATGAATCAATCAATTTAAAAAGCATCAATTTGAGAGCGTTATCAAGAAGTAATAAACACTTTTTGAGGAAAATTATGATCTTTCAATCATTATCAGAATCAAATTTTTCAATCAGAATCAACACAACCTACACGTCGAGCACAGTAGTTGTGGGGCGTACAAGTTATAACTTGTTCAATCATGTATTAGCAAAAATTGTTAAAAAAATATTCAATAATAAATAATTATCCATGTCGGATTACAGGGGGTTCCGGATTACACAGGGGCCGGATTACCGGGGGTCCACTATAGATAATTGTAACTTTAATTTCCAACAAAATCACTTTTTAATTTGTATAAAAGGCTGATTTAAATTAAATAAAGTGTTAAAAATTTAATCTTATTTTTATCTATAGTTATTTAAATTTTCCTAGATTCAGGTAATGATGTAAAAACACCAAGGACTGTGTTATCTTGAGATAACAGCGAGTCTTTGGTCTTCTTCCAAGAAGCCTGTTGTTTTTTTGTAAACAAAGCTCAGCCGAAATTCCGATTTTTACTGAATGTTCGGCCAAAGTTCATATTTGGTTCAAACTACATTCGGCTCATCATCAATCATATATAATTGTTAGTGCATTTCTTGGTGATCATACTCAAATAAATTCGATATTTATAGGCTGAAATGACTCATATTTACAATAAAATATGATTATTTATGGTCAAAAAAAAACGTCACCTAATCTGGACCTGATAGGTGGAGCTGTATTTAAGTTATTAATAAATTTTATATACACAGTGTACTAGCGCAGTGAAACACATTGCACAACCTACTGGAAAAGGCAGAATGCCTGTTGACTAGCTAGTACATTTATGTATATACATCATGTGGTGGTGGTTTAGACAGCTTTGGACCACTCTCTCACATAATACCAGCGTAAAATAGCAGACGCTGTGTTTTGTATGGTGAGTATAGAGAACCGGAGACCCTTTTTACTGGCAACAATGCATTCCATCTCAGTCCTCAGGGCTGGCAACAGAACTGCATTGATTGCACTGAACCAAAGCATTCATGTAACGTCAGGTGGACTGTGTGCTCATTTGTGCCCCTTATACTATAAAAAAAAACAAATATCTTCACTATCAAGAAAATAAGTTAGTATTTTTTTATTGGAAGAAACTAAGCAGTAAAAAATACAATAAGGAGTAATAAATATTTAAAAGAATGGTATGGTATGGTACAGTAATGCATTCTAACTTCTATGTTGTTATTGCTCACTTTATTTTTATATTTGCATTTTATAGTAGTGGTTTTGGTACAGATTTCACAAAAAAATTATATCTCAAAAACTGTATTGTGGTATTCAATACATATTTACTAACCCCTTGTACCATAAAAATATGAATTTAATAAAGCCCTTTCTAAAGCTGCGGCTAAAGTGAACGCAAGTAAGACGAAAGTGATGGTTTTTGAAAGAGATGAAAGCAAAACGGTATGTGAAATAAGAATAGAAGGAGAGTTAATTGAGCAAGTGTATGAGTTCGTATATTTGGGATGTGTATTCAGCAGGGATGGGAGATATGATAAGGATATTGAATGACGAGTGAATGCAGGAAATAAAGTAAATGGGGCTCTACACTCTATTGTGAAAAGTCAGAATGTGTCAAAAAAGGCACGTATGGCAATTCACAGTGCTGTATTAGTCCCTACTTTAACGTATGGTAGTGAAAGTTGGGTGTGGCAGAAGAAGCACAAAAGTAGAATAAATGCAGTAGAAATTAAGAAAGGCGCTAAGGAGTATGTTAGGGCTGAATTTGAGTGACAGGGTGAGAAACTGTGTGATAAAAGAAGAGTGTGGTTAGCAAGATGATGCGGTGACCAGGATTAAGAAAGGAATGCTTCGGTGGTTTGGTCATGTAGAAAGAATGAATGCGGAAAGACTGACAAAGCAAATATATGTTGCAGAAGTGAATGGAAGAGTCGGAAAGGGACGTCCTAGGTGGAAGTTTGTCGACCAAATTGGCGATATACTAAAAATGGGCCAAATTAAGAGTACCCTTAACCGACGAGCATGTATGCGTAGGTATATGGATGTGGAAGAGGCGAGAAAGGTATGTCAGGATCGTGCTAAATGGAAGTCTGTAGTCTCTGCCTACCCCTCTGGGTGACAGGTGTGAGTGTTTATGTATGTATGTATATGTAAAGCTGCAGCAAACAATCCATTATAATGTTCAGTACGTGAGATTGATTAGTAATCCTCTCATATGAAGAAAAAGACAAGACAAGGAAATTATAACAAAGGTTTAAAGAAGTTTAACTAGAATAAGTTTAACTAGAATATTTTTTATACAGCCCAAGCAGGTAACAGACACTGACACGTAAAATATCTGCTTATGAGAAACCAATATCATCATCATCATTACAACCCTTCACAAGTCCACTGCTGAACATAGGCCTCCCCCAAGGTATGCCACAAAGCACCGTCCTGAGGCACCTGCATCCATCGACTTCCTGCATGTTTTACCAGGTCGTCACTCCATCTAGTGGGGGGTCGCCCTACACTTCGACCACTGTTACAAGGCTACCACTCGAGAACCTTTTTTTCCCAACGGTTGTCAGTTCTTCAAGCTATATGGCCGGTCGGTCCATTGACACATCGCCACATCAGCTTACTAATCCGTTGGGCTGTCGGTCACTCTGGTTCTACTGCGGATAACCACATTTCTAAGATAATCACGCAGAGAAACCCCAAGCATAGCACTCTCCACAGCTCGCTGAGTGACTTTGAGCATGCTCATACGGCCAGCAGTGAAAGAGTATGTCTCGGTTCCGTAGGTCATCACTGGCAACATGCGCTGGTTGTACACTTTAGTTTTCAGGTTTTGAGGTATACCTGATGAGAAGATATGTCGTAATTTCCCGAACGCTGCCCAGCCGAGTTGAATCCATCGATTGACCTCTCGGTCGAAGTTGGACTTACCTAATCGGACTATTTGTCCCAGGTAAACATACTCATCAACAACTTCGAGCTTAGTGCTCCCAACAATTACGGGCATAGGTGTGACATGTTCATTTTAAGACCTATCCGTTGGGAGGCACTATTGAGCTCTAGTGAGCCATAGTGCTTAAGTTCTCCAGCGATTCTACCATAACATAAAACAACCTATATATGGGATTATTATACTATACATGTGTATCATTTCATTGTTGTCATAAGAGACGAGAGAGGAGAGGAGATGGACAGCAGTATCCGCCTGCTAATCTCCCTTACCGTCAAGTGCGACAACTATAGCAAATATCAAAGATAATGAAAATGGAAAGAGAAATGGTGCAATCATTTGAAAACTACATTAACATAAGAAGCATGCTTAATATTTCAAAAATGTAGCGCATGTTGACATACAAGGAAATAATGGACTGGGCCTGAGCCGGACTGGAGCTTCCATCAGTGCAGATCTTGGTGGTATTAGCTAATACTCCAGCAAGACCCCGTATGACTGGCATGGATAATGGTTTCGCGTGAACAGTAGTTGCTCACGAGTCAGTCGATCCTAAACTCAAGGGCAATTTTAAAAATTCGTTATAAATCTGTTTTTTCCTTTAGTGCCTTTGAAAGTAATTTTACAACAGAGACGAAATGACAAATAATAATCTATAGAATTAAAAGAAGTAATCTTAGAGTAAATAATTAACGAAAAAGGGCTAACTACAGATTTTATTACGTAATTTAATTAATATAGTAAATTTAAGGTCTACCTAATGTCTAACTAAAAGTTACCAATATATAATAGGAACATAAACGTATCATAAAACTTGACTTACCTTTTATACAGGAGCTAAAACAAGTCACCAGAAGTAAAAATGACGTAGCAGCAGAAAACTTCATCTTCACTTGAGCAAAAAACATTTTTTTGGATAATATTCAGTTTTATTAATTCTTAGATGGACACATTTAGCACTTAGTCATCCACGCTGGCGAATGTACTCGCACAGTAATCACAGTACTATGTTGTATTTTGTATCGTGTTTGTGTAAAGTCCACAGAATAATATTTTACCAAAGAGTATAGTAAATATATAATTTACTCTCTACACACGTCATTAGTCGTATCTTGGTTCAGAGCCGTAAAGCCACTCTTATCTACGCGTAAAGCCAGTTAATTAAAAAAAATCGAATCTTGGTCGTATCATACTCTTATTAGTTTGTGATCATTTCGTTTCAACCTGTATACTCCATGCTCCAAAGAGTTTTAGCTTGAGTTTAACCCACCGACTTAAAAACATATCTCTATGGTTTAACCATAGATCTAGTAAGTTTATAACAAAGAGGAGGTAGTGTCATAGACTTGGGTAGTAATATACCATAGATTTAGTATTGTAGACAGAGAAACCTATAGACAAATTGACGTAGACAGAGAAATCTATAGACAAATTGACGCCTTCTTTCTCATTCGCACACGAAAAAGATAGATTTATGCATACCTCTTGCATAGAAATGAGAAAGAGTGGTGTGATTGTTTGTCACTTTCTCCGTGCCGGTTTTTTTGTTTAGCAAACTGCACTTTGCTAAACCACTTTGACAGTTCGTAGAGATCTTAGGAGTTTACAAGTTGGTTTAAGTGAGAAAAAGTGTTTTGTGAGCTTAAGATTGGTGAATCTTGTTCAGTTCAGTTCTTAGAACAATTATAGACGATAAAAGATAGCTTGATCTCTGCGACATATGTCAAACTGACATTGCTAGGGTTGTCAGGATATAAAAAAATTGTCGATAGAAATTATCGATGTTTCTTACTATTATGGATGCTAATGTAACATATAATAATTGGGTTTAATTTAATTACAAACGTTACTAAAATAAACGAATATTTTTAATATAAAATGCATTTATTCTCTTAAAGGATACACCCCAAATCCATATCTGAATCAGTTTCTGAATCGCTAGAACAATCTTGTAAATTTATTATAAAAAAATGCAAATATTATCAAATCGGACGCTCCGCTCCCAATCTTTTTCCATTAGTTTTCTACATTTGGTTACCACCTTCTTCCAGTCTTCTGCAGATACATTGTCGACCGCACTTTTTAATAACTGCAACATTTTATTTGCCGTGAAAGGCGGTGTTGTGTTGTATCTGGCAGCGTAACCTTAAAAGAAAACATATTTTAATAAGATTAATTAAACAGTAGTTAATAATTAAGTCTAACTGAAATTAAAGCAAACAAACCTCTGACTTGGGCCCAGATAAGCTCGATCGGATTATACTGGCAGTGGTACGGGGGTAGTCTTATGAGCGTCATACCGCCCTTTTCGTGGGCTATATCATCTAAGACATAAGTTGGAGTACTAGGTTTGTGCAGACCAACGAGTCTTAATAATTCATTTTTAAGCATAGTTTCCTCTATTCCTTTTTCTTGAAACCATGCAATGATTTCTAATTTTCTGTTTGCCGAAGTTGGTGGTTTGTGCTTTTGGACCGAGTGATATGGGGCGTTATCCATAATAATGCAATGTGGCTCCTTTAAATTATCTAATAATTTTAAAAACCACTCCTTAAATTTTTCAAAATTCACTTCCTCGTGGTATTCAGTAGTTTTAGTTGAGTTGATGACGTCGAGTGATGATTAATCTTTGACCTTTGCCTTCGGGTACTTTGGTGGTTGATTGTGCAGTATTATCGGTCCAAGCTTTGGATAAGGTATGATTGGCGTTTAGGCATGTCTCGTCTAGAAACACTACTTTGTCCCAATTTGTTATTTTTTTGACTTTTCGGAGAAAATTCACTCGAGCAAAGCAATCTCGGTTCTTTCCATAATAATTTTTTTTTCACATTTTTATAGGAAAAACCAATATTTTTCAATATCTTCGTTAGAGACGGCACGGCACTAATTAGGTCGGCATGCCCATAAAGTATGACATTGACAGGTACTGTCTGTACTACTAAGAAATTCAGGACTTCAGAGGCGTGATTTTATTGACAGCTGTCGCAGAGACCAAGCTATCTTTTATGAACTATAAATATTTTATCTAAATATGTTTAAAAGTCATAAAGATTATTGTATAACCTAAAACTTAACGATATCGTCCTTTCTGACTCGAGGCCACGCTAATCATTAGTCTATAGGTTTCTCTTGACGCCTTCTTTCGCATTCGCACACGATAAAGATAGATTTATGCATACGTCTTGCATAGAAATGAGACAGAGTGGTGTGATTGTTTGTCCCTTTCTCCGTGTCAGATTTTTCGTTTAGCAAACTACACTTTGCTAAACAACTTTGACAGTTCGTAGCAATCTAAGGCATTTACAAGTTGGTTTAAGTGAGAAAAAAGTGATTTGTGAGCTTAAGATTGGTGAATCTTGTTCAGTTCAGTTCTTAGAACAATTAAAATTTTTATCTAAATGTGTTTAAAAGACATAAAGATTATTGTATAACCTAAAAATACGTTATCGTCCTTTCTCACTCGAGGTCACGCTAATCACTATAAGTCTATAGTCGATTGGTTTCTCTGTCTACGTTTAGCATAAACTCCATAGATTGGCAACTACGCGTAGACAGAGAAACCCATAGAGTAGAGTAATATATACAGAAATGGAGAGCCATCTCCTAGGATTTCTTGTCACCCAATATGAAGTGTCGTCGTCTGGTATCATATTCCTTGAACTAATCTCAATATCATGTTGACTATAGAAAGCTGTATGTAGTTATGTATATACTAGAGATGAGTCGTACTATAATATAGGTAAATTTCGTACTAGGTGCACCTGGTCCAATTTCGTATAAATACTCGATCCAAATACCTGTTCCACTTAGTCCATAAAGTATCAAGTACGCATAAAGTTTAGTATTGTTGGAATAGGATACGCTATAGTTTAAGTACCATATTTTATGTGCGTACTGCTGAAAGGTGTGAATAATGAATTATAATCTTCCTTTCATAATTTACAAAATTATTATAATTATTCTCATAACTAAATTACAAGAATTAAGATTATAGGAGAAATAAATTAAGATAATTTACTTCAAATGCTCCCTTCCACCATACTACTTTCTTTACTCGAAGTAGTACTTAAAAGTACGTGTAGATGGCGCGCTTACAGAATTATTTCATATTTTGAAAAATTTGTTTTAAAAGATTATTATCTTTGATTTATTTGAAAAAATCTAGAATGGGCGTACTCACCTATTGCTATTTAAAGATGCTATGTTTTTTTTTACTATTGCTATAATTCTATAACACATACCTAGGTTGATGCAGCTTATAATGACGGAGGGAGAATTTAATGTACTTAGATTATTTTTATTTATCTCTCGTATAATCTTAATAGTAACGATACTAATTATAATATTTTTTAGACTATTGTTCGCATAATTCTTACAAATAACATTAAAAAAATTATGAGTTCTGATTTATTCGATGATCGTTATAAGGTATTTAGAAGGGACATAGAGACGTCTGGCTTTCATAACGGAAAGGAAGGGGGTGGAGTTTTAATAGCAGCATCCAAAGAGCTTAACTCGAAAAGGATAACTATGTGGGAAAGTGACTGCGAGGATCTCTGGGTTGCGGTTGACATATCTTTTTCAAATACCTGTCGAAGGTTCGTATTTTGCGCCGTTTATTTGCCACCACCAGTCTCGATGCACCTAATAAAGCATTTCGTGGATAATTGCAACTCTGTTATAGAGGAAAACCAGTCCCATATTTGTATTGTTGGTGATTTTAATCTGGTAAGCATATATTGGGAGCAGTTTGGTAAGTCAAGCAATTACTACCATAGTTCTGCGATTTGCCAATATTTATTGGACTTTTGTAATATTAATAGCTATAAACAAGTCAATAATATTGTTAATAAAATGGGTAAAATTTTAGACTTAGTTCTTGTAGATCTCCCTATGTGTCAGCTATCCAAGTCATTAGACTTCTTGAGCGTAGTCGATAATCTTCATCCCCCCTTGGAATTTCAGCTGAGCTTCGAATTCGCCACAATGTTAGCTAACCCTAACAATATAAAACTGAACTTTCGCAAAACTGACTATGAGGCAGTTAATCTAGAGCTTAATAGTGTCCAATGGACAGAAATCTTTTCACTAACCAAGAACGTGGATGAAATGATAGATGTGTTTTATGATAAACTTAACTGCACCATTAAGAAACATGTGCCGGAACAAAGGCAGAAAAAACATAAATATCCCCAATGGTACAGTAAGGAGCTTATCAAAAGACTGCGCGAAAAGAATAGGTTTAGAATTAGATTTAAAAAATACAAAAATCCGCTTGATGAAATTTCATATCATTTGATGTCAAAACGATGTAAGCAACTAGTTTCGGATTGTTATAAAAATTACCTTAGAAGCACAGAGGCAAAAATAGCTGACAACCCAAAGTACTTCTGGTCTTATATCTAAACTAAAAGAGGTGGTCATGGTACATACCCAACGGCCATGAAAAATGGATCTACCACAAGTTATGAAGGTAAGGGTATCTGTGAAATGTTTGCAAATTATTTTTCGGAGGTGTATAGTGATTGCAAACAGTCACGTCACTCTACGATAATGCAATTAATAATATTAGTATCAACTCGGATTGTTTAGCACATATTTCAATAAGTCACGATGATATTCTCAAACGTATTAAGGGTCTAGATATATCGAAAGGTGCAGGCTCTGATAATATTCCACCATACTTCATAGTTAACTGTGCTAATAGTTTATCAGCACCTTTAAGGCTCATTTTAAATGAATCGTTGACAAGTGGAGTATTTCCAAAGCGATGGAAGTTTGCTAAGGTCGTGCCGATTCATAAATCTGATGATGACCAAGACGTTCGGAACTATAGGCCAATTTCTATACTGCCTGTTTTTGCTAAGTTGCTAGAAGCAATCATTTGCCCATATATACAAAATCACTT